TATCTATCTATCTATCTATCTATCTATCTATCTATCTATCTATCTATTTGTACACACATGTATGTGCACAATTCTATGGTTTCAAACATTTCCTCTTGTAATTTAACCATTGAACCTCGTGATTGTACTTCCATCTATTCTATTCTGGATACGCATGTCAGGGCAGCAGACACCTGGGTCATATTTAGTCTGGGACAACTAAAAATTAGTGCTTGAAGCTTGGCAAGATAGATTCAGTGATGTTACCCTCACAACCACATTCCCAAGATGTCAGCCTGATCGAGCGTCTGTGGCCTGTGCCAGTCGATGGTGGCTGCAGTTCAGGAATCTTAGCTGCACAGAACAAGAGCCAAAAATCACAGAACCCCTTTTAGATTCTGATAAACAGCCGGTAAGATGCTTTTTTTTGTTGTTGTTGTAAATGTAGATCATGTACTGATCTTTGATTAACTCTAATCTATCAGAGCAGGAGGCTCAGTCAGACAGAGTTGTTATATGCTGAGTCCAATAAAAAAGTTTTCTCCAATTATCTGATGTAAAGCAACCTGAAGCTGAATAAAAAAATTAATGAGTTAGCAGGAGCGGCAGCCAGAGTGCTGATCTGCTGACTGCTGTCTTATTGATTTAATTGTCTTTGGTCCTCCCAGTTCTGCAGGTTCATAGACCTATGACGGGCTACTGGCTGTGCCCACAGCATGTATGGAAATCCAACCTGCCACGAACCACAACCCCCTTCAGCCTCAACACCAGCTTAATCTCACTGTGCTTAATGAGTGGAACAACACAGAGTTGACAAGTATGAAAATCCTTCCCTCGACCACTTTCCTCAACCCCTTTCTCTACTTCCCTGTTTATTGACCTGACAACAGCTGTAAGCAGAGTGCCCAGATTTATGTAAAAAAGCCTTTACTACTGGCTGATGACTGTCAGCTTAGTCATTTGTTATAGTCAGATCCCTGCGGACAGCTTGAGCTTCTGGGCCACTGTAAAGACGTGGTTACATTCAATTCAAATGAAGGCAAATGGGAAGTCAAAATGTGTGAATGGGAAAACAGCAGATGTTGCATAAAAATATTGAGATTCAGAAACAAACTCTGTCTTATTTATTCCTGATAATTTCCTGATCTCTACCTCGTTCCTGTAAATCTCAAAGGTGGAGGAAGTGTGCTCTGTCAAATGCTTTTCTCAGATTCATCGAAGATTCCCAGGTGAAAGACAAGATGTATTAGCATATGAAACAGTCAAAGTAGGAAACATACATTTTTATCTTCACTTTGAATTATTCATAAGGATGTTCCTACTGTAAGCAACAAACACACGGGAATCAGACCAAGTTCTGTCTCTGTATATAGGCACAAATATAAATAGAAAGACTTTATCACATCCTCACAGCATCTCATGAAAACTTTTTGGTGGTGTGTGTGCGGAGCCTGCAGCAAACTGATATGCCTAAACATGCTAAATTTGCTTTAAAGATATAAAACAAACTGATTCAATCTGATGACATTACAACAGATGGATTTTTTTTAGTCATGGCAGTAGGGTGGCAAAAGGAATGGGAATGTCTCACAGTTGGTCCTCCTCTTTGGTATGTTGTTAAATCTCTGCAATGTTGGGTAAACTGCCATGACAGCTTTTAAAGACATGCCCTGAGGATGAATCCTACCAACTTGCAAGTCCATCAAATTTATTGTTGCACTACAGTCTGGCTTGACATTATGTTTTGTTTTGTGATGGGTTTCAGTGTTGTAATTTGGAACAGCTATTCAACGCTGCTAAGATTTTACATCGGTATTAAGCTAAATGAACCCACATTTACAGAAAAGACTAGTACATACATGCATGGTCAGCATATATGCAGAGGATTTCTGTGATCAACTATTATTAGATTGCTTTGCAGTTCTACAGTGTCACCACCACCGATGAAAAGTTTAGCAATGGGATTATTTTGACCTCACTTTTCTCCAAAGCATCAACTGTACTTTTAGTTCAGTACATAGTTCATTCTTGATTAAGAAATTAATTATAACTCTCTAGAAGATGAAATGACAGCTTTCAGGTTAGGAGAGGTATTAGTGTGCCCATAAAGTCATCACATTAAACATTTATAACACAGTTGCTGCTCTTGCTGAATACAAAAGTCTAATTAAAAAATCTATTGATAAACAAAATCCTGATAATGTATATTTGACTTCCTTCACATTGAGAGTCATTCCTTCCTTCTTTATCTTTCTGAAGTAGTCAATATATCTAATAAAAGCCTAACCAGAGCCACAGAAACTGACCTTTTGGCTTATTAGTATTGATTCCTGTAAGTAATACTAGTCCAGAGAAAGTTTACCAGAAATGAACAAAGAGGAGAAAACTCATAGATGGTGATCTTTCTTCAGCCATGATTGTTAAATGATAGTGTCTTTGTTATGTTGATAGCAAGTCTTAATGTATTGACTCCTGTTGTGTTTAGGAAGTCTTTTGACTTAACTGCCCTCTCTTGCATCCCTATAACTAACATTAATAACACAGAGCCATAAATCACTATTAACTTCTCTGGAAAATTGGCTTAACCATCTGTAAAAACACCCACACAGAAGACAAGTTAACGCTGTAAACTCAATTTTCCATTACATAATACCGGCATGTAAACACAAATCAAATAATTGATGTAATATAAAAATTTAACATCATTCATTATGTATATGTTAGCTGCAGATGATTACTGGGAAACTATTTATCATTGTCTGTAAACACACTGAAAATTCATTAGATCGAGTCCCTCACGTTCAGCCACAGCCAAGCTGGTGTTGGGGACATGCAGCAGAATGCCTTTGGTAGATCGACCTATTGAAGACAAGTAATAAAACATAACTTTTGCTTTTCCTTTTAATTTGAATGTGTTTTTGAAAAAGAACATTTAAGAAAATATGAACATCTTCTTTAAAATAAACTTCTTTGTAATTATTGCTCCTACATAATGTTGTAATTTGCAGGCCACTGTAAGTTGATGTGATTCTAAGATGGTTTTAGGAGGTTTCAGCCATTTATTTACAGATGAAGGCCTTGAACTCATTTCTCTTTCTTTTCTGCCTCTTCTTTTCAGTGTTGCATAATGAATAAGTATTTCTCCTCCACTATACAGCATTGGGATATTTGGTGATGAATCCCGCCTTTGGCAATATGGCAGCAACAAAACCATGAAAGTGAGAAGGGTGGAGATGCAGTGATTCAGAAGAGGGCACAATAGTTTTATGTTCTATGATTATATAACTCCGAATCGCTTTGCTCATAACATAATTTAACTCATAACACCATTTTATTTGTGTGCCGTGTTTTTGATCAACTTGACCAATCACAAAAAACACAATTTTTTTAGTTGCTTTTTAAGAATAGTATTATTTGAGAAAAAGGTACGTGTTCACAACAGAAAGAAAGCATGTGAAATGAGCACTTGTGAAAATGATATTGATTGGGAAGTGCGCTTCTCTTGTGGATGGGTTAAATAGGCCCCATGAGGTTCACAAGCACCCCCCCTACCCTATCCCTCCCTACATTCTTATTACAGTTTAACACAAGCTTAACTGAGTGATGAGCAACAGATTGCGGACACACACATACAACATCTCACTAACGCAAATGTAACAGGAGATTCATTAGACAAACAGAAGGCAAAAGAGAAAGATAATGTCAGCCAGGAGAACTTGACAAAAAAGGTAAAGGCAAAGGGAGAAGCCAGGACCAAAGCAGTAGTCATGACTACAGGAGCAAACAACACTCTCAGGGGAATGAGACAAGAACAAATGGTAAAAATCTAAAGATTCGGCCTTGGTTGGCTAATTGTAAGAAACAGACACTACTTTGATGAAATCTACAGGGGGGTGACAACTGATTGCAAATCAGCATGTGGATAAGCTCAGTGTCAACAAAAACTCAGGCGTGTAAGCAATCACACAAAGCCAGAACACTTTAAAAAAATGAAATGCGGGGAACAAAATACTTACAAAAAATTAGGGTAAATGGAAAATTACAAAGATAAAATTACAAACATTGAATATTCTGCTGTATGATGTAGGACTAAAAGTGTTTTCAATATAATTGTATTTTGGCTCAGTTTTGCCACAAGAGCCACTGCAACTCTTTTAAGAGCAAGCCAAACAAAGTGGCTGGACTTCATCACTGTCACCAAATTTCCAAATTATCTATACAGCGAAGAATGTGTTTTGTGTGTGTTTGTGTCACAAGCAAGCAAACTTGTTTACTGGTACAGAGCACATGGGGCTGATCACATGCATTT